TTGTCGATAAACAAAATGGCTTGTTGGCGTGGAATCCGAATTCACTAAACTATAATCGTGGCCATTGTATTTCTGCCTTTTCCACAACCGTGATCATCAGTGTTCATCAACTCTGTGACGTCTCTCTCTCCATGTGTTTCCTGTCGCTGATTTTTAAGTCTCTGCTGTTGTCATCATTACAGTAGTTCCTCTTCTTGTTTATTCCAAACAGTGGTGTTTAGCTCAACAAACATCAGATCTGTTTGGCAGCGATGAAAAACGCAATTAGTCTCATTAATCTACTGAACTCAAGATGAGCTTAACCTTCACCATTGGCACCGGCTGTTATGAGTCTTTTGCTTTTGTTGTGTTCCTCACCTTGGTTTGAGTCCTGGAAAAGTTTCCACTGTTGCTATGTCTTCATGGAGCATTTGATGTGGAGATTGTGGGGTGGAGTTTTTTTTTGTTGTTAAGTTAAACTGAACTGATGTTTTATTCATCAGAGATCCGTAAAGCCTGAATCATTGTGTGGCGTGGACCCAGTGGTAGAGTGGCAGTCTGTTGCCTTGTTGATTTCACTTCCCTGTCAGTGTTTGCAGATATGAGAACTTTTATTTTACAGGATAAACAATGCACTTATCCTCCTGTCTACCTCTCTACTTACCTATCTACCTTTTCTTACTGTTATTGAGCCCCACTCATGATCCCCAATTCAAATATAGTAACATTTTTGTTAATTGTCAATATTTTCTCTATATATCTGCTCTTTTGCACTGCACAAATAACGCCTGTCTAAAACGAGACATTTGTGCAGTCAATATGAATTTGAAGTGCTTCCCAGTCTTGTCTTTAGTGCAGAGTAAATCTGAATCAGATTGGTGGGAGGTCCGATACTTAACTGTAGACCCCTCCAGTTGAGCTAACTCTCTGTCTTCATGACTCTGACTTAACTCAGCACAAGGGCCCAGTGTTTTCTCCTTCCCTGACAGAAGTTAAATAAAGCATTCTCTCAGGGCCTTTATGAACAGACGGGCGGGACGGGCGGTGGGAGTGGTGGTGGCTGGGGGCGGCATTACATATAGGTAAATGCTGGCATATTTGAGATGGTAATCCAGGATAAATCTGCAGTTGGCCGATGACCAAACATTCATCCGTGGCACAATAGGATTTGGCAGCTGTCCAGTCGTGGACTTACTCTTGGGTTTTAGGGTGAAATCCATTTGGACTTTTTTGGAAAAGGCTTTAATAATTAATGTTGGCTGGACTGAAAAGAGAAGAGGAGGGTAAAAGTGTATAGAAGGTTTTTTTTTCCACCATGTGCTTGTGTGGTGGTTTCATGAATTAATTCTGGGATAGCCGTCAACCACCACCCTGCTGGTAAAAGTTTTTATCCCTCACTGGATTAACTTTTACTGCCTCTCTGTCTTTTAAACACTTTCTATTGCTGCTGGTATCTGTGGCACCCTATTATACTATTATATTTTCATCTGATTCTATTCCCATTGCTGGCATTCCCCTCTCCCACAGGACAGCATGTTTGGTGGGAAAGCCACTGACTGTAACAGACTGTGCTGAAGTGCTCCAGAGCAAGGTCACCAAAACCCAGTATGGTGTGTCTGCTTCTAGGAAAAGAACTGGAAAAGATGTAATACAACAGACTTTTCCCTGGCTTGTTATAAATAAACTCTATAAAATATTTACTCCACTTACAAAGTAATTTTAGAAAAAGCAGGAGGAGGGGGGGATGGTAGAGGGCTTCTTTTTGGCTGAAAACTACATTTGGCTTGATGATCAGTAAAGAGCTTGAAACTGTTTTTTTAACACAATAGAAAATTAATCCTATGTATAGAAATAAAATCTAAAATGCAATATCAAGTTAAGTCGGAAGTTTATTTTAATAATAAATATTGTGTGAGTAGATAAGATAAACATGTAAACACATCTTATCTTATTTTTTGCATTAACAAAACTCTTTGACATCCCCTAGTGAATCAAATAATTTCCCCACAAAAGCCAAATCACCAATCAGTCTATTTACTAATGCAGCATATTAACTATTTTTACACTAGTTGTGTATCCAACTTTTACATCAGTAGCTGAGCTGGTTTAACTCTTGACTCGTGTACTGACGCTTCACGCAGGTTCGGGTTTGGGTCTCATAGCAAAATCAGAAAATAGGATTTACTCAAAGTCACTTTTACTTTTTTTTTCGGTGTGTCGCATCTGCTCACATGGAGCAGGTAGGGGTTTATGATCTATACTGCAGTCAGCCACCAGGGGGCAACGAAGACGCTTTGCCTTCACTTTTGCAGAGCTGTCATGACATCCATCTTTATTTACAGTTTACTAAACCACTTTCTGGTGTAACCAGGCGAAAAACTAGAAAATGTTGCTGTGCATTTAAGTTCCTCTTCCCTGTCCATGACTACGGCCCATAGAAAGACAACAGAAAAGACAGAAGAGACAAAGAACGAGTGGAATGCTTCAGAGGAGAAGCTGCTGCCAGGAGGACGTGACAGCGTCATGGCACGAGTGTCACCATTCAAGATCCGAATCCGTTCTGACCCATTTCACCTCCACTATTCCGGTTCTTTGTGTGTGTGTGTGTGTGTGTGTGTGTGTGTCTGTGTGTCTGTCTATGTGTGTGTTGGGCACACTGAGGCCATTCTGGGGGAGGTGGAGGGAGAGAGACGGGTGGATTTCTGTTGTGATGGTATTAGCCTCTGTCAGGCTAAATGGGCATTAATTGGGGGAGTGTTTGGTGCAACACAGGCGGGATTTTACACACACACACACACACACACACACACACAAAGACACACACACACACACATACACCCACACTCACAGTCGTTTCCTTTCATCCAGAGTAGGCTTCATCTGCTCTCACAGTTTTTTTTAGTTTTCCCTCCTTCTTCTCTTCCTACTTTCCCTTCTCTCTTTTTCTTCTTGTTTCTTTGTCCTCATAGGAACCTGCAACAATTTTAAATAACCATGAGCGGTCAAATTAAGGACACTGGGTAAGTAGCTGTAGTGTGTCTGTGTGTGTGTGTGTGTGTGTGTGTGTGTGTGTGTGTGTGTGTGTGTGTGTGTGTGAATGAATGAGAACGTGAGACAGACTAAATGTGTACGTGCATGTTTGAATGCTTGAGGCTGGATTTCCAGATTCCAGCGCTGCTTTATGAAGCTTTAGCTCAGGGAAGTTTTTTACATTCCCTCAACAATTTACTTGAAATGGATGAATGCAGACTTCTTCTCATGACACAGATTCTTAGTTTGACAGTTAAACTGTACATTTATGGTTCATTATTCCAAACCTGAACAGACAAAGGCTCTTTAGATTGACTGTGTATTCCCAGGGACCGTGCTGTCTCACACAAAGACATGCAGGCTGGGGTGAGGTTGATTGGAGACTCTTAATTGACTGTAGGTGTGAGTATGAATAGTTGTTTGTCTAGCAGCCTGTCCAGGGTGCATTCTGCCTCTCCTCAAACTGGCTCCAGCCTCCCTCGTTACCCTTAAAAAGGATAAGCGGTATGGATGATGGACGGATGTTTTTGTTTTCTGAGTTTTATATCTACAGTTAACGTTCTGAAGGCAGTTGGTATAAGACAGGATGCAAACAGCATAGTCTCCTGTGTCAAAGTCAAGATTCACATTGTCAGAAGTTAAATGTTTTAATTCATTCAATTCAATATAGCGCCAAATCATAATATACATGCTCTCAAGGCACTTAACAAAGTAGGTCAAGACCTTAAAAAATGTATGGAGAAACCCAACAGTTTGTGAAACAGACAAATACAGTTGAGGTGTGATGTGAGCGGGTCAGCGTGTGTGGAGTAAAGTGTGTCCATGTAGCAACGTCACACTGATTTATGAACTCCTCAGGTGTACTGCATGTTTGACATGCTTAGATAAGGGCCAGGAGCCAACCCTGGGGCCGACGCAGCACAGATCCAACAGGAGGTCACACGTCTGGATAACTTCAGGACAACACAACACATGTTGGCAGAGATCGGTCAGAAGGAAGAGGCAGCATCATGACGGAACCACTTGTGCATTCGACCTGTTTTTCTTCCGTTTATTCTTGAGATCTCTTTTAACAAACTGCTTCAAATGCTTTTCTAAGTGATGAATTTCAGTTTGATGAACCTTTTCCTTGTGTATAGTACACACCCACCAGTCTCTCTTTCTCTCAGGGTAGTCAGTCTCCGGTCTGGATACTCAGTAATGAGCTTTATTACACAGCAATTAAACACTGACAGGGTCACCAATCCACACACACACACACACACACACACACACACA